ATTGTGCCCCCTACTTTTAAATGTCTGCGTCCGCCCCTGGTTTGGCCGCCAGCTCGATACGATGGGTCGTCATATTGCAGATCTGTCCGCGGAGATCGGGGACATACGTCTAACTATACGTATCATGGTTCGGGACAAGCAAACGTACCGTGACGCCAGCAACCGGGGCGTGTGCGAGGGAATCCGCGGAGGACGTGGAGGCCGTGGTCCAGGCGGGGCGCCCCGCTAGAGATCTCCACAACCACCGTCCGGCGACGGCGACAACGACGGCAAGAAGACATTCTCGGAGGTAAATTCCTTCGACGATTTTCTACCCCCACACGTCGAGGCTGACCCATTCGCTGCATACGGCGGCCGTGACATGCGGTGACGGGGCCCGGTCTTCGTGGACGGCGACGATCAACGCGAAGACAGAGGCAAGCGCGAGGAAGCCGCCATCTTTGGCGTATATTGTGTTCGACGCGATTGGGAATTTGATCGTGATTATGGTCGATGGGAGGGCCCGTTTCGTGTAGACATTCCCGAATTCGACGAAGAGCAAGTTGACGGGCCATTGTACGATGGTCTGCCTATGTTTGGTGAAGGACCCGAGGAGGTCGAGAAGCGTCTTACCGGCGAAGTGGACGGTCTCTACGATGATCCGCCGATTTTCGATGAGGAGCCTCCGGGGCTAGAGGAATTCCATCATGTTTCGGGTAGAGAAATTCAGCTGTTGGAAGAATTGGTAGTTCTTCTGTTGCGTACTCCCAGGCTTTTCTTCCACGGAAATTTGTTGCGGCCTTGCAAACAAATGATATTTTTTGATCCCACGGTTACTTCAAAAATACTGCATATATGTCTTTCCATGAATTTCAAGGGGGTGTTACCATGGAGGTGCGACATTCAACCTTCTTGTTCAATCGAGAAAAACGACTGAGGTTTCCTACCATGGGTTCGTCACCACATGCCGGTCGGGTGCGCATCGGCTTCGAGGGCGAAGTCTTCCGAACCGGGGAAGAACAGTGTAGAGTAGTATATTATTATTATTATTATTATTATTATTATTATTATTATTATTATTATTATTATTATTATTATTATTATTATTATTATTATTATTATTATTATTATTATTATTATAGCAATTAATATTATTTTATAATTAGTAGCTTGAAGAATAAGCTAGGGTATAATTTGAGGGGGCTTTATTTAAAGGGATCTTAAGTTTTGTGATGGGGGAGTTGATTTTGAATGAAATAAGATATTGTTGAGTTTTACGTGTTTTACGAGAGAGTATCTCGTTTACTCGTTTTATCCTTCTCACTCGTACGCTTCCCTATATCATAAAGAAAGTAAATATCTACAATCTTAAGAATTACTAAAATAATCAAGCACATATGCTAATTAAGAATATATTATAATAAAAGCTAAACTAGGAATTTTGGCTAGCTTGCTCCTTCCGAATCACCGCCCTTCGTTCGCATCATTTATGTCCTCTTCAAGCAAATCCTTGTCCTCAAGGATAGAAGTCAGAAATTGAATAGGCATATCGTGCATGTTTCTCCATGTTGCCTTCTCTTCCGGAAACCCGTCCCATTTAACCAAAACCTTCCAACGAAATCAAACAACCTTTTTAACTCGGCGATAGTTGCTCGACTAGGACGCATAATGAGTTGTTTCTTCGTATCCATTCCAGATAGCCGCATCCCAACCTTGTGCATTTCACTCAAGCCATGTTTTAACTGTGACACATGGGTGACTCTTTGAATTTAGGACTCGATCGGCTCAAAATGCTCCTCGCCAAATTGCTCCAATAAGTCCTGAATATCATGATGATATGACGGTGATAGTTGGCCCATTCACTTCCATAGTCTACCTTGATAGCAAAAAGTTGGCTGCCACGTTCCCACGATTTCTCCGTATTTTTCAAGCATGTCTCCTTGACGCCTTCTTTGCTTTTATTTGTCAACGCGACCAACTTATCCCCCGAACTGAACTCCATCATACTGACCTTATAATCCGTGTTGATCGGCTCTAGGCCCTCCAACCACCAGACTCCCAGCACTACATCAGGACCTACCAAAGGTATCGCGTAGAAATCGGCCTTCAAGGTCACGCTCTGCAATTTTACAGTCACGCCCTAGAAATGCTTCAAACACCTCAATCGTTCCCCACTGACAACTCTCATGTCAAAAGGCTCTACGTTCGTCACTGGAAACTTTAGTTTATGAAACAATGCATTATTAATAAAATTATGTGATGAACC